GGATCTCGCCCTCTGTACGGAGGAAGGGCCAGCGGGGGACGCGAAGACCGGGGCAGCCACAAGCGCACCAGGAGACCTGCACGGGCCAATGAGGGGGTCACAGGTAAGCCTGAAGAGGAAAGGTAGGGTTAAGGCCCCCTTAGCGTCGCCTTTGGGGAGGAAGGTGAAGGCTAACTGAAAATTCCAGGTTTGCCAACAGCAAAGCAGTGACTAGAGAACGCGTGGGCCTGCTGTTATTGGGGCCCCCACCTAGTAAAATAGGGGATGTGAGAAGGAAGAGGTGCCAGATAACCTCTCTGCTTTCTCTGCTTCAGCAGTGGCTGGGAATATCAGATGAAAGAGTCTTTGAGGGGGAATGACTTCCCTTTGAGGGCGGAGGAGCTGTTCAAAAATCACGTAGGTGAAACTGATGCCTATGTGCGCTGGGGGAGCTGGCAGAAGCGACTGCCAAAGAGCTCTCTATCGTTCTTTTTACTCTCCTAGATGAAGGTTGCCTGAGGACCGACGCAGAGCCAACGTCACCGCAGTCTTGAGAAAGAGCAAGAAGGATGGCCTGCGCAACTGTAGGTTGGCAGTCTCACCTCCCTCCCTGGCACAGTGATGGGACAGCTCGTTCTAGATGTTACCTTCTCTTCCAGTTGCTTAGAGATATTTGTAAGGAGCAGCCACGGTGGATTCAGCAAGGGGAAGCGATGTCAGACTGAGCTGGTAGGTAACTTTTTGCGTTGCGATTATGCGATCAGATGAGAGAAATGCAGTGGATATTGTGGGGTGGTGGGATATCACATCTGTCAGTACCTAAATGCAGGAGTGTAGTTGCTGGTGATGGGTTTTTTCGGAGGTGTGCGGTGGTGGAATGGGGGCAGTGTTCACAGACTGGAGCGGTGGAAGTTTCTAGATAGTTTTTATATGAACAGGAAGAATGATTTCACTGTGGGAGGGATGAAAGAAGCTGCTTGGAGAGGTTGCAGAGTCTCCTTGTCTGGGAATGTTCAAGTTGCGTCTGGATGATCTTACAGGGTGAGTGCCACAGCAGAGCATTCAGCAGTGAGGATCAGCCTGGAGTTGCGAGCCCTCTGACTGGTCTGCCCTGCCTCAAGCGTTTTGCAGAGTTGTTGCTGCAGGTTCAGAGCGGGCATTCTCTTGGTGGGACTCTGGAGTGAGGTGAGCAGTGTCCCCAAACAGCGTGTGGTGCCCCTGGGTGACAGAACTCCTTTTGCGTGAGAAGGTGATGGCACCTCCATTCTCCAGGGGTAGGCTTGATGGAGGGTGCCAAGTGCTGCCTGCAGGAGTTGGTGCTTTGTTCCCTCAGGTGCAGCTGGTGTCCCCACCCTGGATTGGTGTGTGCTGCAGGGCTCTGAGGCTGTTTTGGTTTCCTTTGAGGGGGTGGTTGAACTTGGCTGTGTGTGCTGGTGTTAACTGGTGTGGTTGAGGGGGAAAGGAGGGCCAACACTGGCTACAAGTGCCAGTGCTGGCCCTCCTTTCCCCCTTGGCATGGGGCTGCTGGGTGGGGTGTGCACTATCTCAGAGAGATTATTTTTTT